TCCCCGGAGGCGCCGGAGGCCCCGGGGAGAGAAAAACAATTTTTCAGGCCTCGAAAAATGCGTTTTCGGCTCCCGGGAGCTCCGGAGGCTCCCCGGAGGCGCCGGAGGCCCCGGGGAGAGAAAAACAATTTTTCAGGCCTCGAAAATTCGTTTTCGGCTCCCGGGAGCTCCGGAGGCTCCCCGGAGGCGCCGGAGGCCCCGGGGAGAGAAAAACAATTTTTCAGGCCTCGAAAATTCGTTTTCGGGTGGCCCAGAGGCTTTCGGAGGCAGCAAGTATGGCTGCGCCGCCGGGGCCTTGGGCGGAGCATCTATGGGGCCACGAAACTTGCGAGCGCGCGCGGGAGCGCGGGCTGCGCCGCTGGGAATTTTAGCAGAGCTCTGATGGGGCCATGAAGCGTGTGAGGGGTGCGCCGTCGCGGGGAGCGAGAGCGCATGCTGGCTGCGCCATTGTGACCCTGCAGTTCGGTTTTCGCGTTCGGTCGGTTTCGGTCGGCTGATTCGGTTCTGCAGGCCCCCTTTCGGTTTCGATCGGTTTCGGTTTCGTCATCGGTTCGGTCGGCTCTCGGTTTCTCGGCAACTCGTGGCCGCCCATGTCTTGGCGCGTCTTGGCGCTTGTTTGGGCTCTGGGACGCCCAGGGGCAGATGCGTATCTGACCCCCGCCCCCGCCCGGGACCCCACCCCCCAGACCCCCTCCCCTCGGCGGGGCAGGGATCAAAGGGAAGGGGCGTCCCTTCGACTTAAGTACGACGTTGCTACGGTTTTCTCTCGCTGGCAGGCTTGAAGAGGAGGGTGCAGGCAAAGGGGACGACGGATACGCAGGGAAAGAGGACAACGGATGCGTCGACTGAGCGCACGCCGACAGGGGGTCCACACGCCGAAAGGGTCGGCGGATTCTCGTTTACGGAAGGGTTTCAAAATCGAGTGTCCAAAGATAATACAAACACGCGGTTTCGCAACACTGACTTCTGCACAAAACCAAAAAACGCGCACGCGCTTTACTGCACGGGCTTCGTGCGCGCATGTCTAAATCGTTCGAATTCCCTTGCGCGCGTGCCGTCGCGAGAACCCTTGGTAACAAATGTGACGAAGTGCGCGCGCGCGCGCGTCGTCGCGCGCGCATGCCGAAATCTGTCAATCACCTGCGGTGTTGTAGCGATTTCAAAACAAAATGTGCAAAACACATACAAACAAGCATGGTTTCGCGGCATCAGCTGTCAACAAAAAAACGTGCGCTCGCGTTCTTGCGCATTCTCACGAATTCCATCGACTTTCAACATGCTTACGAACTTCTGCCAAACAGGCCTCTGGCGCCGCATGCCGGCATCATTCGCACGCCCTTGTGCGCGTGTTGGAGGGCACGATCCGTGTCATATACAACCAGTCGGGCCACATTCGCGCGTCGGCCGCTCTCGCATGTCGAACTCTGTTCCAAAACCTGCATCACCGACGCGAGGACGCCGTCATCGTCGCCGGCGTGATCCGCATCGGCGTCCGCATTGGCCGCGCCTTCGTCGGTGTCAACATCGTCACCACCACCGCTACTATCATCATCGTGTCTACCGTTGTGGACGTTGTCATGATACCGCGCCCGCCCCAGTCGCCGACTCGCAGTGAAGTGCCCGCTGGGATGTGCCCAGCGGTGAGCGCCACCGCGGCCGCGTTGATGGCGCCAAAGTAGTTGGCCGCTGCGCGCGCGTGCTAGTGTTGGCGCGGCCGCGGAGATGCATTAGCCAAGGCCAAGCATGTTGCCCAAAAGAGAATCAGAATCCTCCCTTGAGATTATCCGCCCCCCCCCCCGGAATGTTCAATTTGGACGTGATGGTGTTTGTCGTCTGCTTGCCATTCGGGCTCAGCCGATCCCAGCTAAACCGGTATACATCCCCCTCTGGTCCCCAACCGATTCTAACACATCACAGCGGTTCATACATGCCCGAAATCTTCTGCAACAGGTGAGGCGATGTCCACACGCGCGTGGCGTCGCGCGCATGCCGAAATCTTCCAAAAAGCGTCGTTTCCATGGAATTGCAAGATCGATGTTCCCGAAAACCCAGCGGTTTGACAACAAAAATGTGCAGCCTGCTTTGTTTACTCAGTCGGCGCTCGCGCTCTTGCGAAATTTTCGTGGAAACAAGACGGTCTTCAACATTCGGCCAAACGACCAATGGCCTTCGCGCGCGCATGGCGACAACCCTTGTTTTGCTTGCGGGGGAAGCGCGACCTTTGCCAAGTAATACCATGCGGGCCATTCGCGTCCGTCGGTCACCCGCGCATTCCGAACTCATGACCGACACGCGGACACGTGATCAGCATCGGCGTTGTCGTTGGCCCCGCCGTCGTCATCGTCATCGTCGTCACCAGCATCGCTATTACCATCATCGTGTGTAATTACATCATCGTGTGTGCCGCTGTCGACGTCGCCATGGTACCGCTCCCGTCAGGGCCACCGACCCACAAAAGTGCCCGCGCGTCAGCGCGGCCTGCGAGACGTGCTGGGGTGTCCCCAGCGGTCAGCGTCACCGCGGCCGCGGCAGTCGCGCAAGACTAGCTTGCCGCTCTGCGCGCGAGCTTGCGCGCACTTGCGCGGCCGCGGCAACGCGCCAACCAGCGCCAATCAGTCATCGCAATCGCCGCCGCAGGGGCTTGCAAGCCAAGTTGCGGGTGGGTGGATGGGATGGCCGCTCCGGCAGTATACCTGGGACTTTTCAGTCCGGCTGGGTGAACTTCACCGCGTAGCATGCACAGCATATATTGTAAAGCGTATATCGGTCGCAACACATAGTTTGCAGCACCTTGATTGCACCACTTGGGTCGCACCGCATAGATTGCATCACGTAGATTGTGCCACGGCGATTCCACCACATGGATTCCGTATCATAGGTTGCACCGCGTATACTGCAGAACGGTAATCGTTCATCGTATGTTGCACAAGTCGTGTTTTACTCATAGACCGCACACCGTGGATCGCGCACCATCGATCGCACAACATTTGTTGCACACCATGGGTCGGACAGAGGTTTCACCGCATAGATTGCACCACGCAGCTTGCAACACATAGAAACATTGTGTTTTGGGACCGCGATGGCTCATTTCTTGTACGGAATAAGCAGGACAAGCGCGCACCACAAACAAACAACACAATCACAAACAAACACGTCACGACGAGAACCTGCTCGGGCTCCCCAGTTGCTGCGTTGCCCGCACCCCCCCCCTTGGGGCGCCCAGGGCGTGAAGCGCACTGCGGACGGCGCCGTCCTCGCGGCGGGGGCGGGGGGGGGGCGCTCTTCGGGTGCGGGAGGGGCGCGCGCGCGTCGGCGGCGGTATTTGCGGGAACCATTGATGGCGGCAGCGGCGGCGACGACGACGACCGCGACCACGACGACGGCGACGGCGACGGCGACGGCAAGTTTCGTTGTCGGAGTCTTGCGGCGGTCTCACATACGCGGGGGGGGGGAGTTTCAAGGTTTCTCGACGTGTAGCGTTTAGTTTCCGGATGGTTATTTGGTTTTGATTGGGAAGGGCTGGTGTGTGCGGGAGCGGTGGGGTTGTTCTTCGGAAGTGACGGGGCGTTTCTCCAGTGAAGAAGGGTGGCGACGAGGAGAAGGGCGATGGTGGTGGTGATCACGAGGGGGAGGAGAGAACGAGGACGAGGAGGAGGGCACAGAGAAGCCAGATAGGAAGGAACATGTTGTTGTTGAGCTTTCTCTTCCGACGAATTATTATTGTTGGGCCCCCCCATCTGGCGCGCGTTGCATTTTTCCAATTGAAGTGTCCTTCCCGGGCTCGCACGCTGTGTTTTTGTTTGTGCGAAACAAGTCAGGGAGCGTCTTGCGGGTCAAAGTGGCCCCCTGGCGCCAGAATTACAACAACAACGGCTCCCGCGAAATTTTCCTCACGAAATAATTCAAAATCGCGTTTCGCGCGGGACTTCCCCAGAATGTGTTCAGGAATCGCGTTGTCGCGTCGCATTTTCCCGCAAGTTATTCAGACGCTGCGCCCTCGGCACCCAGAAGTCACGTTCTCGCTTTGGCTTTTCTCACCATTCACTTGGGACTCGCGCTATCGCTCGAGACTCCCGTTGCGAATCATGCAGCACTCGCGCTTCAGCAACCCGCGTGCTCGACCGCTCGCTAGGGTCTGCCCGCCCGATTTGCCCGTCTGGTTCTACTTTGTGTTTTCTGTTCCTAGCCCCCTTTCCTGCTAGTTTCTCTCGTGCTCCATCCTTCACCATCCTCTTCCATCCGTCATCTCTTCCCCTGTTCTAGGGGCTGCGCAAAATTCACGTGGCAGGTCAGGAAGTTATACCCCCAAGGGGGTACACTCGAAGACGAAGATGACATGCACCGAGGTTTGGGGATATACGTGTTGCATGGCACGTGAGCAGATAGGAGCGATCAGTCTTAAAGTGTTTGCGGTTAGTATTGTTGGTATTGTTGTTGTTGATGTTCCGTCTCGGGTCTTACTTCTGGTTTTGTTTTGCACGCTTTTGTTGGTGCTCCTCTTCATGTTGCTACGTCAGCCGCTTCTTGTCCGCAGGATTACGCGTGTCTTTGCAAGCGTGGACCCCACACAGTGAGCTCCTGCACCCCGAGTGTGGAAGCTCTGCGGCGCAGTGTAGTTATGTGGTGCAGGCTGCTCCTTGCAATCTCTGCGTGCTGCAAGCTGTGGTGCAAGTAGCGGGGTTCAAGCAGTGTGGTTGGGTCTGTGTTGAGAGGAGGAATGGGTACCCATACCTCTACCCCGCGTCTGTTTTTCCTTTTGTTGGGCCTCCTGGGAGGCTCTCGTCGCCACCGCTGGATTCGCCTCGAAGTCCTGGTCAGAACGCACCCTGGGAGAGGTCCGGGGAGTAGTGGTTTCGGTACCTTTTGGTTTCCCCATGTGTGGTGCAAGCTGTGGTGTGAGAAGCGGGGTACAAACAATGTGGTGCAGGCTGTGTGCTGCGCAGGCTCTTCGGTGCAGGCTGGGTGGTGGTGCAAGCAGAGTGGAGCACGCTACGAGCGCCAGCTATGCTTTGCAAGCAGCGCGTCGTCGGCCTGCGCCCAGGGCGGCCCGCCCGACCGCCATGTGCCGCTGGGAGGGCAGCCCGAGCCGCCTCGGCGCCCTGGCGCTGCTGTGGTGGGCGGCGAACACGCGGCTGCGGCCCGCCTTTGCCCGGCGGAACCTGGCCTTCTTCGGGCAGTGCCGGCCCGAGGCCTGGAGGCCGGCCGAGGCCGGCCGCGTGCAAGAGCCCCCGCGGAGCAAGCCGCATGGGGGGGGGGCAAAGGAGGAGGAGCAGGAGGAGGAGGAGGAGGAGGAGGAGGAGGAGAAGGAGGGGGAGGAGGGCAAGGAGGAGGAGGAGGAGGAGGAGGAGGAGGAGGAAGAGGAGGAGAGGGAGGGAGGAGGAGGAGGAGGAGGAGGAGGAGGAGGAGGAGGTCTGGGCCTCCCAGGACGGGGTCGGAGCGGGCAGGGTCGGAGGATCTCCCTCCGCATGGCCGATATGCATCGACGAGGCGGCCCGATGTGGGCCCCGAGTTTCCCCACGCCGACGTCGCCGAGGCATCGCCCACGTTGCCGATGCATCGGGCGATGCGGCGCGATCTTCCGACCACCCCAGACCCCCTCGAGTAATGAAAAAATCACGACGGGAGGTTTTTCTCCATTTTCGGCCTCGGGGGGCCCTCACCGGGCCTCGGGAGCGTCAAAAAACGACTCAGGATGACAAACCGGTCCTGGGGAAGGGGTCGAGAACTCTGGGGTCGACGTAATGAAAAATTCATTACGTCGGGGGTCTGGGACGTCTACTCCGCCCCCATCTAGGAGGCCGAGTCAGAGGACCAGGTGGCGTCGGACCCTGGAGGATTCTCTTTATCGGATGAGGGCGGCGGTGACACACATAGCCAATCCACGATTGGAGTTCCACCGGCTTCCAGACCCTGGCTTCCTTGTCCAATGGTTCCTTATTCAATGCTCTCACCGTGCCGCTACGCTTCCCCCGACGCCACGGTCAGAGTCGCTTCGGAATCCTTGTCAGAACGCTCTCCAGGAGAGGTCGGCTGCACGTCAGATCGGACAAGGGCCAGTCGAGACAGCTGCGGCCTCCCCTGGCTCTGTCTGGCTCTGTTCGGGCCTCCTGCAGGCTTCTCGTCGCCACGGCTGGATCCGCCTCGAACGGCAGGTCAGGACTGACCCACGGAGGGGTCCAGGGACCGATGTGAAGCGGAGTTTGGCCGGAGTCGCCATGAAGCAGACGGGTTTTGAGGGGAGCGAGTCTGGAGGGATTTTGTGGTCTTCTTGTTTGTCGGGGCTCTCCCAGGGCCCGGGGCCGGGGGCTGTCGGACAACGATTCGGGACGAAGACATTTGGTCCTGGGGAAGAGCCCCAGGATCCAAGGCCCGTTTTCATCAGGGCCCGCCTCCTTCATGCCGAGTGAAGGGCCCTCCGTCAGCTTCACTTTGGGTGCGCGGCTTTCGCGGGGCGCGGGAGGGCCCCAAACTCGAGCAAACAGGCCGCCCCATGCCACATCGCACGCAGCGGTCGGCAGATCGCGCGCCAAAGGGCAGGTCCTGCCCCGGGCCGCTCTTGCGCGTGGCTGGCCGAGGGCCCGGAGAACGAGACCGGCCTGACGGTGCTCTAGGCCTCCCAGATGGGGGCGGAGTAGAGGCGGTCGGAGGATCGCGCCGCATCGCCGATGCATCGCCGATGTGCAACCCGCTCTGCTTCACGTCAACGTCGCCGATGCACCGCCCACGTCCACGATGCATCGCCGGTGCATCGCCGGTGCATCGCCGGTGCATCGCCGATGCATCGCCGATATATCTATCGCCGATGTGCCGGCGATGCGGCGCGAGCCTCCGACCCCGCCCACTCCGACCCCATCTGGGAGGCCTCCAGGTGCTGCAGGCGACGGTGGGGCACTCGGGGACCACGAGCATGTCCGCGGCCCTGCACCTGCTCGGGCTGCGGTCCTTCCACAGCGACGACGTGCTCGTGTACCTCCCGGAGATGTTCTTCCCGAGGCCGGACGTGGCCGCGCTGCTGCGGTCCTGCCGCGTGGAGGCCGTGGCGCTGCAGCACTGGCTGGAGCTGAACTTCGAGCTGATCGAGCGGAGCCCTGGGGTGAAGGTGATCGGAGGAGGAGCAGGAGGGAAAGAAACACACAGACACAATTAATCGTCGATTCCCAGGAAAATAGGGGAAAATATGGGGATTGGGGGGGGAAACAAAAACTCAGAAGATATGGGGAAATATGGGGAATCATTTTATTTGTGTGTATTTATTTGTGTGTCCTAGGGCCCCTTCAGAGGAGCAGGGTCCAGGGCTCCCAGACGGGGTCGGAGTAGATGGGGTCGGAGGATCGCGCCGCAATCGCCCGATGCATCGCCGATGCGTCTCGACGTCGAGCCCGATTGTGAAGGCCTGACGGCCGGTGCCGCCGACCCTGAAAGGCATCGACGACGACCAGGAGGGGGAGGAGGAGGAGAAGGAGGAGGAGGAGGAGGAGGTCAGTCAGTCAAGCCTGGCGCGCAGACGGCGCATTGGCAAAATAAGAAGTTATGCGTGTGACTGGAAACATCAACAATAGCCCTGGGCTCGGACCGGGCAGAGAAATGCGGGCAGTGAGAGCGCTACGAATTCACCTGCAAACGCATCGGCGCCACGCGGGGGGGAGGGCGGAGGAGGGGAGGGGGCGGAGGAGGAAAGAGCGGGGGGACAGATATGCTAGAGCCGATGGTCGCCACATTGTTCGCGAACGCATGCAGACCATTGTTGCTTAGGCCTCCCTCGCCTCCAGCGGAGATCCCAGCGACGTGGCTCGTTTGAATGCGGATCGCACGTAAACATTCTCAAAAAGTTGTCCTCTGGGAGGACCGCAATTTTATAATACAGTGCAGTTTGCCTCTCACTGAGTGTGGCGCTCAGAGCCGCTTCGCCACTTCTTTCCAATACTATCTTGTTTGAAATTCAAGAGGATGGAATAGACAACATTTCTCTGAGACACCGCGCTTGGAACCCATCAAGCTTCCGTTTGCCTGCTTGAAGTCGCCAGATTGATTCCAGATTGTACATTAGCTTTGGTACCACACTTGCTTTGAACAGCTCAATTTTTCTACTTCGCGTAATATTCGCGTGTGACCAACATGTGTCTAGATATTTGAAAAACAGCCTTTGTTTCACCAATTCTGCAATTCTGCGCGTTAGTTCTGGTTTGGCTGACATGTCTGGTGTCAATAGACCCCCCAAATACACAAATTTGTAAATCATTCGTATTGGTGTCCCCGACGGGTTTGAAATCACACCATTGTGATTTATCCTCATGGCGATTGTTCTGCCCCAGTTCAATTTCAGGCCGTAGCGTGCACCTTCTTCGATGACGTAGTCGAGTAAAACTTGCAATTTGTCAGTACTGCTGCTGACGAGCATCGTGTCGTCGGCGTACAACAGATCAGAGCATATCACGTACGGCGGTTCTGCTACAGCGTCGCCTCTGTCATGAATTTTGCTGTCAATGTCGAAGAACATGACCGGTTGCACAATGATGGTCAAATAGGGAGAGAGCGGGCACCCTTGAGCGATGCCAGCCCGCTGTCGCCGTCGAGTTGAATCCACCCCACCCTCCTTTAGTAGAAAAAAACGCTCATCAGATATGCTTATTATGAACTGTACAATTCGCTCCGGGATACCAAATCTGCCCAGCGTTTAAATAAGAATGTCGTGTTTCATTCTGTCAAACGCTTTGGCCCTGTCCAAAAAGTACAGCCAGCAATCCAGGTGACGCCGACGCGTGCGCAGCGTCGAGCATCCGGCGCGCGATAGAAGTAGTTTGCGCGGTGCTTCGTCGAGGTCGGAACCCAAATTGTGTTTCACGTATGCGCCTTTCTGGTCCTCCAGTTTGCAACCATTGCTACACCATGGATGCTACAATTTTGTATCCTACAGGCAGTAATGCTATCGGTCTGTAGTTCTCTGGTAGACTCGCATCCCCCTTCTTGAACCGTAGTGATACACATGCAATTGTCCATCCATGCGGTATGTCGCAGTTCTCCGAACATTTCTGACACAATGAAAGTAGAGGATCCAACGCATCGGTGCTACCCAAAAGAAACTTCCAAAACTCAGGTGGTAATTCATTTTTCCCAGCTACCTTCCCAACGGACTGACGCTTGAAAGCACCGTGCAGTTCTTGCATCTTGGAAATGTTCGTGCCGATGGGGAGCACATATCCGATTGGGTCGCTGTTGTTCGGTCGAGAGCCCGGGTTTGTTATCTTCCATTGTGTACGTTGGAAATAATCGACAAGTGCTTCTCCACGCTGGCCTTTTCCCACCAAATTCCCAGTCGGGTCTTTGATTTAGATAGATCGTTTGGCTGTGCCTGCGCGAAGTGCACGAACAGCACGCCATGGCCCGTCTCGAAGTCGTTCGTCTAGCCAGGTAGTTCTATCTTGTTGCACGGAACGCTTTATCTTCTTAGTGAGTTCTCGCTCCTCCGAATCGTTGGTCTTGCAAGCCATGTCTCTTGCAGCGAGCAACTCCAAAGTATGTTCCGAGATCCAAGGTTTGCGTCTTCGCTTGCACGAATTCCCAGTTACCCCGGCAGCAGATTTCATCGCGTGTTTGATTATGTCTGCCATCCCGGCCAGCTCTTCGCGGACTGGTTCTGCATGCCAAGCTCTGGTGAACGCGTCTTAGTAGGCCTTGATCAGAGTAGGGTCTGCACGTAGGTCCGCAGCGTGTTGTTGATGGTTCTTATGTTTCTTGCGACTTGTGTCCAATATGATGTTTGTCCAACCTTGCAACAAGAAGTGCCGAGACGCAAGCGGCACATCACGGCTTGATTGAATGTCTTTGACGTGCTGCGTTGCAGCGCAATCCATTAAGCAATGATCAATTTGCGCAAAGCCTCCATTCGTAATGTCGGCTGTCTTGTCTGTGTCGGGGGAATAGTACGTAACCAACTTGTTCAGTTCATGCGGGAAGAGTGTGTTTGCGACGATAATGTCCGCACTCCTGCAAGTCTCAATCAAGAAGTCTCTGTTGAGTTCATGTCTCTTCTTAGGCCATGGAGTTTCGACTACAAACTCTCCCAACACATCTTTTTCCCCAGCCTCGCGTCGGAAGAACTTCGCGCTGAAGTCATCTAAAGCGACGGTGCAATTATGGCGGCCATGCTTTGTCCACGACGCTCCAAATGAGTCGAAGAAATCTCGGCGAAGATCTGGATCGTGCCCTGAATGCGGCGCATAAGCCGAGAGTATGTTGGCACACGAACTCGCAGTGATGCCAGTCTGTCAGAAACCATTTTGAAAGTGATGATGCTCGAGGTGGCCGCGGGAGCCACTATGAAGCCCACTCCTGAATAGAATCGGCCCGATGTAGTTGCAGGTGTGCCGGATAAGATGATAAGATGCCCATCCTCGTAGAATTGGCCTGATTGGGGTATCCCAGTTTCTTGTATAGCAAGAATTGCAATCCCAAGTTGCCTCATGTGATACATGAGTTCTGGAATCTTTGCGTGGTCTTGACCGAGGCCTTCCACGTTCCAGCTCCCGAGGCACATATTCAGTATTGGATAGCATTGAGTTGTTGGCCTTCCCCAAGTTGAACTTTTGAGGGTGAAACTGTTGCCTGCGGGCGGTGATGATGCAGGAGAGGAGAGCGCTGGAGTAGCGAGAGTACATGAAGATGTCGAGGGAGAAAAAGCACAAGTTGTGGTATGTTTGCCCCTCTTTGTGCTTACACACTTCGTCGTACGTTGGCCCATGCCGGCAGGAAGGTATAGACTCTCTAGATCGATCTTGGTATCCGTACCGGGATCAGTATCCAAATAGCGTAGATCAAGTCGTGATGAAGATAATGTTGATGGCGGCGTTGTCTCATTGAGCCCCGGCAAAGACGCAGATGCCCGGCGTGTTCCCAATTTTCCGTTGTTTCCATTGGATTCTCCTTTCCCTCCCCCCTTCTTGCCCGTTGACGCCCTCTGTACCAAAGAGTCGCACTTGTGGATTAAGTCGATTGTGTTGTGATGGTTGTGCAACTCGGCCCAAGATTTTCGTGCGCCTTCTCATTCTCGTTGTGTATTTGCGCCCGAAAGATGCACAGTGACCGCTAGCTGACCACCCACAATCACTTGATATGGCGCCTCATCTGTGACTTTGATGACGCAAGGACTTTTGAGGTCGTCTTTAAGAATCCGCTTTAAACCAACACAGAAGTTGCGGGCAGAGCGTTCTGCCGGAGGTCTGTCTGGTATTGCCCACAGTTTTCCCATCACGCTGAATATCACCATTCCGTAGTAATGCCACCGCAGTGTCTCTGTCGAAGGTGCCCTCAAATTCAGCAGACAAGATGTTGTTGAAATCCTTTTTGCTGTAAATGTTGTTCGGTATAGGGCCCTGCATGGTTGCAAGTTTTTCGCGAACATACGAGAATGCCTCTGTACTTGACGTGAAATTATCCAAATTACCGATAACGGCCGTAACCGCCTTCTTACCATAATAATGATGTTTATTTGCAGGTTGTTGCGAGTGTCTCGAAACAGATCTTGGCGTAATATTCTGCATATGTTCAAGTTGATTATCTATGCTCGCCATGCGTTCGTTCAACTCGTTCTCCATGTTGGTCGCCCGTATTTGCACACCCTCCATCTCCTCGGTAAGGTTGGTGATATCGTTCTTCAGGGGGGCTGTTGGAAGCTCCAAATCATGTTGCGATATTCCATGTAGTTGGATCGCTTATTTTTTCTTTCTGATCGGGTCCAACTCCTTCTTGATCAGTTTGCCGATCGCCTCGAGCATGGCCGGCTAGTGGGCGTCTTCCATTTGCTGTTCAAAACGTTGTTGTATTGCCGAGGCGCTTCCTCCAGCAGCAGCATGATCGGCAGTCCCCGCATCGTCAAGGCTGTCCATTTCGTGTAGAGGACTGTGTATCCGGTGCTGCTTGAACAACTGCTGGACAGGTGTACCTGGCGCGCGGGTCTCGGCACCAGCCCCTGTACGAGACATCGATGTGAAGTGCAGGTGAAGGGAATGCTCGAGTATGGGGAATGCTGAATGTCTCAGGCGATCTCGGTGATGGTGGTAATACTCTGGCTTGAGCCAGGAGGAGGAGGAGGCCGAAATAAGGAGGAGGAGGAGGAAAAGGACTCCCCCCTGGGGAGGAGGACCGGAGGAAGACCGGCGTGGGAGAGGGGAGGGGAGGGGGAGGAGGACCCCCGGGGACGGATGCGTATCTGACTCCCCTCCCCCCCCCTGGGACTCCTCCCCACCTGGGGAGGGAGGAGGACCCGAGGAGGACCAGCGCGCCAGAGAAGGACCTGCGTGGGAGAAGGGGACCCACAAAGGCGATGCGAATTTGACCCCCCCCCCCCCCCCGGGACCCCTCCCCCCCTCGCCGGGGAAGGGACAAAGGGAAGGGGCTTCCTTTTGACGTAATGAGGACGTGGATAGAATTCCCTCAAGCTGCGAGCCCGTTCCCCGAACGAAGAAGGGTGCTCTCTCTTTTTCTCCCCCCGACGGGAGAGGAGGATGGGAAGGATGGGGCGAAAGAAGGTCCCCGTCGACGCGACCTGAAAGACACCCCACACACGCCGACATGGTCGGCGGATGTGCCTCACGCCGACGTCGCCGATGCATCGCCACGTCGCCGATGCATGAGTGATGCGGCGCGATCATTCGACCCCATCTACTCGGACCCCATCTAAGAGGCCGCAGGAGGGGCAGTTTTTCTATCCCGTGGCGATGACGGGCGTGACCAGGGGGGGAATAGGGGGGAAGGGGCTTGTCACGTCACTGTCCGCGTTGGCACTGGGAACGCCTATAACAGCTGATTCCCAGACGGCGCCAGCGCGAGCCGTGACGTGACCTGAGGGCGGGGGAGGAGGGTGGGTGGCGGAGCCGGTCACGGGCGTTCTCGTGAATTGTTTAGATTGGGTTTGGACATGACCGTTGCTCGTCCTGGAGAGCCATTGTTGCCACGGCCAGATCTTCTTCGAAATGTTGGTAAGAGCACACCCCTTGAAAAGTCCGTGGGGTAGCAGTATCTGCATCTTCCTTCTCTCCCCCAAGGTGAGCCCGTTGCCTGTGGCGTGCCCCACCACCGTGCCAGCGCAGCATCTTCACAAATATTCGCGCGGGGTGGTTCTGCCAGCGTTTCCGGTCAGGCTCGACAGAGCCATGCTGGGGCCGTCTTGGGAAGTGGTTCAGCGATGATGCTGTAGTGTGGAGCAGGTGTCACGTTGCATGGCCGTTGCGTTGCGCGAGTGTGTGTGTGTGTGTTGTGTGTGCGTGTGTGTTTGCGTGCTCCGCGAATCCCACTGACTACGCAGTCCGTTTAGCACGCTGGCGGGTCGGGTTCACCCTCTCCATTGTTGCCTCTCCCTCTACAGAGTTGCGTGTAATCAGCTTGAGCGCACGCCTGTCGGGCTTTCGCGACTGACGTCGCCTTGGCGTCGGAGGAGAACGTGCGCTCCACGATGGGTGTTTCCTCGTTGCATGGCATGGCCCGCGTGCAATATGTCTTCCGTCGTTCGTGACCCAGCGGCGCGTGGGAGGAGAAGTGTGTGTTTGTGTGTGTGTGTGTGTGTGGATGTGTGAGTGTGTGTGTGTGTGTGTTTGTGTATGCGTGTGTCTATGTCTGTGTGTGCTGGTGTTGTGGGGGGCGGAGCCCCTTTGTGCTGTGTTGGGAGCCTCCTGGGAGCCTCTTGTGTCTGTATGGGGGCCTACTGAGGCGTTGTTGGCGGTTCTCGGAGTCGTCTTGGACGCGATGATTCTCCCGAGCTCTCGCAGAAGGGGCTCGGGCCAATTTGGGGGGCCGTCTGGGCGTGTCTGAGGGCATCTTGGGGGCAATCTCGGGCCGGTCTTGGGCCAGTTCTTAGTCCGTCTTGGGGCAGTCTTGGGGCTGTCTAGGGAGCTTCTTGCGCATCCCTGAGCGGTTCCCGATGCCATCGTCAGACGAGGACTCGAAGGCGAAACGCCTTGAAGCTCACGATGCCCGATCATCCTATGTTGGGTCTTAGTTTTGGACAGGGCGCTGCCGCTCTCTCTCGCGCCTCCCTCCGTGTCTCCTCCTCGCATCGCGCTGACCTCGTCGCTTCCTCCTCTTCTTCCTCGTCCTCCCCGGGTGCTCCCTGGCTCCGTCAGACGCGTGGAACTGTCGCAGCGCTGATTCGCTCCGGACAGGTCCGGCGGAGCGGCGTCGTCAGCGGAGCCAGATGAGGTTCGGAGGCCCCCTCAATGGTGTGGTGACCACCACCCCATGAAGTGACCGGGGGCGGCAAAGAGGGTGGTGATGACTATGGGGGGGTGGCTATCATGGCGGGGGCCATGGTATCGCCCCAGATTTCATGGCGCTGCCTCTCATTTCGATACGTCCCCGCCCCCCCCTGGGCCGCGCACATGCCGCCGGCCATGATTTGCGCCCCCCCTCTTGGACGCCCCTCTTAGCGCCCCCGACACCGTGAGGTGAGTCGGGGGGTTCAGGTTGGCCTCACAGTCTTGGGACCTGGGCCGTTCTCCCAGGATGTTTGGGGCGTCCGGGGGTTTCTTTGGGGGGTCTCGAGGTCGCCGCAAGGCCTGTCACCGCGCTGCTGTGGGATCTTTCGGAAGACTCGCCCTCCTTCACTGGGGCGACCTCGGCCCGTCTTCGGAGGGCGGTCTCTAGGGGGGAGGGGGGTGCGTGCGTCCTTGGGGGGGGGCCCAAATCATCGCAAGACTCTAGGCTTCAGGCCTCCCAGATGGGGTCCAAGCAGATGTGGTCGGAGGATCGCGCAGCATCGCCGATGCATCGCCAATGCGGCTCGATGTGGACCCCGAATTTCTCCACGCCGACGGTGCCGATGCATCGCCGACGTCGCCGATGCATCGCCAATGGGTCGGCGATGCGCAGCGATCCTCCAGCCCCCCATCGATTCGCACCCAATTTAAGATACCTCTAGAGACGCCCTATCAGACAGCTGGCAGGCGCAGCATTACGCCCTGGTGTGCCGAAGGCGCGATGGCGGATACTTGTGGAGAAGGGTTATGACAAGTTTGTCAGCGGGCTGGTTCGGCACACGGCCAATGAGCAGAATTCCATCACTAGGGCGATGTCATGGGCATTGGACTTGCTGTGCCATTGGCTTCCCTGGGGAGTGGTGTGGCCTGAAAGTTCCCTCGGCTACTCGAATGCAGAGATATCGGTCACGTCGATCATGCAGGAGATGTGTCACATCCAGATAGGGCGCACTGGGGTCCGGGACGAGCACAACACGATGTTCGAGGCCGTGCCTTACAAGCGGTGGTCCGAGGCCTCCGGGGATCCGAACTGGGAGAACTTCACCGGGAAGCTCTACAGGTCTGAGGCGACGATTTATACATGACCACCGCCTGGGGGGTCGATCTTCGGGATAGGTTCGGGCCACTGGGGGCCCAAAGATGTCCACATCCACCGCTCCCCTGGGGTTCCCAGGTGACTCCCCAGGCGATGGGTATGGACAGATTCCCGCCTCGCAGCAGGGACATGCCGTGGAGCCGCGAGCTCTACGCCTGGTACCACGGGGCGATCAAACACGTGGTGCCGCCCGAGCGCCTGTTGCTCTTCTCGGCGGCGAGCGAGGGGCGGAAGTGAGACGGGGCGGGTCTTCTCAGCCTTCTGAGAAGTTTTGTGAGCCTGGCCCGAGGAAACAGAAGGCTTCTCCGAAGGCATGAGGGCTCCTGAGAAGTCCCGCCGCCTTCCGAGAAGGCCTTCTCCTTCTCCAGGGGAGCGAAGAGTGCCACAAACATAACAACTCGGAGGTCCGCGCGGACCTCCGAGTTTTTAGATGGTTCTGCTAGTCTCAGAGGGCAGCAACATATGTACATGTGCGCGGCTTGTTTCCGCCAAATCGCGCTTGAACGCGGAGGTTCGTGCACGCAAGACCGCGGAGGGCGTACATGTACACATGTCGTTGTTCGCTCATACACCTTAGGCGATGCTTAAGAAAACCTAAGTTTTCGTCCAGGGTCTCGATTATTCTTAACTTTTCAATGTAAATCCCCAGCTGTTGATAGAAGTGCAGGGTTTTATTCAATTTCTGAGACTATGAATTTCTTAACCCATGATTTCTTAAGCATTTCGCAGGGTGTAGTCTTCGCTCCCCTGGAGCAGGCAGGCCCTCTCCTCCTCGCCTCCCCCCCCCCCGCCCGCCGCCGACCCTCGACATGTCGCGCCACGGCTGGGACGAGCTGGCGGCCTTCGTGGGGCGCCCGCGGCCGCCCGCCGGCACGCCGTTCCCGCGGAGGCGGTCCTGGGCGTACCCGCACCCGACGACCATCCGGCCAGCCACAGCTGGAGGAGGAGGAGGAGGAGGAGGAGGAGCAGGAGGACGAATAGGAAGAATAGGAGGAGGAGGAGTAGGAGGGGGAAGAATGGGAGGAGGAGGAGGGGGAGCAAGAATAGGAGGAGGAATAAGAGGAGGAGGATGAGGAATCATAGGAGGAGGAGGAGGAGGAGGAGGAGGAGGAGGAGGAGGAGGAGGAGGAGGAGGTGCTGCGTTCCCAAACCCCCTCGCGTTGCGAAAAAGTCACGACGGCCTCGGGACCGTCGGAAAAACAACTCAGGATGAAAAACCGCTCCCGTGAGAGGGGTCCAGACCTCTGGGGGTGGACGTTTTGGAAATATCATGAAGCCGGGGGTCTGGGCTCCCAGATCCCCTGGCGTCGTGAGAAATGGGGCGTTGTTCAATAAACGGTGGGAGCGACAAGTGGGGGTCCCGGCGGAAGCGGGTCCCTGGGCGTCGCTAAATACTTCTGGTGGTCCAGACCTCCTAGTGGTCCAGACCTCTGCTGGTCCACGTCATGAAGCAGTCATATGACGTCCGAGCGGGTCCCCTTCAGGGGGGCGAGGGACACAGCTCCCCCAGCCGTGGCTGGCCCGCCCATCTACTGGAAGGACGCGCCCGGGAGGTTCCTGGCCTTCTGGCTCGCCCTGCTGGCCTCGGTGGTGCTGAACGCGGCCGTCTTCTGGCCGCTGGAGGGCCGTTGGAAGCCTCGCAGGAGGAACATGTGCCGATACGGCTGCCGTCGCGCGATTGTCGGGTTGCTCGGGGCCGTGTGCTCTGCTCTCGGGGGCATCAAGAGCCGCCCGGGGCGAGACAGACGAAACGGCTCCTGGGGAGCTGGGACGAGGACCGGAGGGGCCCGCCCCCCGCACTGAGAGAGTCACGCTGTCGGCGGTCTCGGCCTTGCGGTGGTGCACCCACGGTCTGGGAGGAGACAGCGGGCCCCTGTTCCTCTCCCCACTCCTCCCCTCCTTCCTCCATCCCCCCCCCTCCCTCCCCTCCGCCCCTGCCCCACTTCCCGCTCGTGGGCAGCGGGAGGAGTGGCTTCAGGGTGGGCTCCTGGACTCAACAGTATCATGCGCAGGAAGCGCAGCCTTTCCACTTGCTCCGGCCCTGGCCCGGGTCAGTTCTCCCCGCCTCCCTCCACGAGGACGACGAGGAGGAGGGGTGCGGTCAACCCGCGTAGTCAGGATGATCGATTTCCCAAGGGTACCTCTGCATCCTTGCCTCTTCGGTCATCTTCGATCCGTCCTCAACCGCTTTCGGTGGCCAGCCCCGCTCGAAGGGCCTCGGCATTGGCGTCCATGGCCCGTGCATCCTTAGCACGCATCCTTCTTATACGGGTTGGCTGTAGGAGGAGGAGACGAAGGAGTTGGATGGCAAGTAATGGGAGATCTCCCCCCCGTTCTCTTGTCGTTCCCCTTGTCCCCGTTCGTATGATGTCTCCCCCCTCTCCATCTCTCTGACTCAGTCCTCCCGGTCCTTCCACTCCCTCCCTGTTCCATCTCCACATCTCCATTCTCATTCCAAACCAACCTTTTTGCTGGGTCCTCGTTTTGAAGAGACAGTCCCCGCGTTCCTTCTCCTCCTTTCCTCTCCTCTCCTCTTCCGCCTCCTCCCTCCTCCCGTCACTTTGGCACACCCACCAACAGCGTTTCGTGGCCCCGTAGGGAGCTCCACCGAGGGTCCCAGTGGCGCAGTCCGCATGCGTCTCCCCCCCCCCCCCCCAGTAGAGCATTTCGTGGCCCCATAGGGAGCTCCACCGGCGTTTCCAGTGGCGCAGCCCGCATGCGCCTCCCCCACCCAGTACACCGTTTCGTTGCCCCGGAGCTCCACCGACGGTCCCAGGGGCGCAGCCCGCATGCGTTTCCCCAACCCAGTATAGCGCTTCGTGGCCCCATAGGGAGCTCCACCGACGGTCCCAGTGTCGCAGCCCGCATTCGTTTCCCTCACACAGTACAGCGTTTCGTGGCCCCGTAGAGCGCTCCATACAGAGTTCCAGTGGCGCAGTCCGCTTGCGTCTCCCCCGCCCGGCACAGCATTTCGTAGCCCTATAAGGGGGTTCCACCGACGACGACACCTACAACTGCGGTTTTCACAACTGCATATGGTTGGGTCCTTCGCCAGGCTAATTGTTCTCCTTCTTCTCATCCTTGTCGTCCTCCTGGGGGGACAGGGTAGGGGGGGGGAAGACATGGATGAGGTTGAGGAGGAACAGGAGATGCGAAGGATAAGCCTGATAACCCTCTTCCTCGTTCTCCACCTTCACTTGATTCGTGCGTTCCTCGCTCCTCCCCCGCCAGAAGCCCCCAAACGCATTTGGAGACGTTTGGAAAACCACCGGAGACCTCGGAAGATTCCGAGAACCTCTTTGTCACCCGCAGGGGTTGTTTTTGAGCGTGTCCTGACCAGGACTCGATGCGGATTCATTGAGCCGTGGCTACGCGAGTGTCGCCGTAGGCTCAACAACGGCGGCACGCATCAAAATCCCCCCTCCCCCGAGATCCGACGGCCTGAAACACACAGCTCAATGCCGTGAACAATGCACGGCCAGAGATTTGCAGCGTACGTTCACGGGTGGCCCCCCGGGAGGGGGCCCGGTGGCCCAGAGCGTCCCAGGGTTGCACGTCCAGGTTCATCCGCGGCAGTCGACAGTCCAGACGCTGAATTGAGGGGCAGGTCGGGCTCGTACGGGGCGCGCTGCTCCCGGAGGCGTTTCCACCGTGGTCGTTCCTCCTGCCGCTCCTCGTGCGCTCAGGCCTTCCGGGGGCAAAACGAGGCATTCGCTTTTGGATTCAGTGTGAAGTCGGGCATGTCGCTCTGCAGGGGGAATCTTCGAGGATAGTAGCAAATTCTGTTGGGACGATTTCTCGTGCTGTGTTGGCGATTTGGGAGCATTGACTATCTCCTAGTTTCCTCCACGATTCGCCTCTCGGAGGACCTGCCCGACCCAGATTTAGCGCTCCCTATGGCAGCAGCTCGACCGCTGGATGCCTGCTGTGCCAGTGGCTCTGCCCCCTGCCGGAGGGCCTCCTGCTCGGCCCGCCGATCCGATCCGATCCCGAGCTCCGCGCCGGTGCGGCCCGACCCGGCGCACACTCCTGGAGGTCGAGGGGAGGAGAAAGAGCCCCCCGGGCCGGACAGCCGACGTCTGCGAAACGGCCCTGTGCCTTTACGGAGCAGCCCCGCCCTGCTCGATCCCTTCCCTGGGCGCGTTTTTTTTGTTTGTTTGTTGTAGTTTGTTTTTTTTTGTTTTTGGTTTATATATATATATATACACAAAAAACAAAACAACAAATAACAAATAAAAAGCGGCTTCGCCTGTCGGGGTGATTCTTACGGGGGGGATGTTTCAGCCCCCTAGTAGGTGTTCTGCGGGGGCGCGAAGGTGCTCGCGCCTCGCCGCGCAGCGTTCTGGACTGGCAAGCCGCCCCTCTCCAGCCCGGAGGGCGCGAGAGCGCGAGGGCGCGGGGGCGCATCGCGGGGTGCGGGGCGCGGAGTTGGGCGACCTACAGTGGGGGCGCCAAGAGGCACCCTGCGCTTGTCTCCAGGGTGCCCTCGGTTTCTTGGGTTTCGGTGGTTTTGCCATGGAGAGAGCGTGACGTGCCTAAGGCCAAAAGCCTAGGGACGTCCTGGGGTCTCAGGGTCGGGTTTCTTGTGGGAGGTTTCCTGTGGTGGGGCCCCCATTCTAGGTTCCCATGCGTGCGACTCCTCTAGATGTTTGCACTACGGTGTCCCCCAAATCCCAACCTTTTGCCCAGGGCATGTGTCAGGAGGGGAAAAAACACACAGACACAATTAATCGGCGATTCCCAGAAAATATGGGAAAATATGGGAAGTGGGGGGGAAGACAGAAACCCAGAAAATATAGGAAAATATGGCGAATATTTTTATTTGTGTGTATTTATTTGTGTGTCCTGGGGCCTCTTGAATGTGTTTCTCCCCGCGTCGTTTGTTGCCGGCCCCGGGGCCCGGCGAGAGCTCCCAGAGACAGAAGCAAATTGCAGAGCAGCCTGGCGAAGGGCGCGGCCGCGGCGGGCGTCGCGGCGCGCTCCGCCGTCCGCGGCCCCACCTGCCCTTTCCTCCTCCGCCTCCCCCGCCTCCCATCGGTCGGAGCCCAGGCTGGCGTGCCGGCTGGCGGGCCTGGTCGCCGCCGCCGCCGCGGCGGCGCACTGCGCCGCGGTGCGCCACTCGGTGGGCGCCGCGGCCGCCGCGCTGGCCGCAGAGGACCCGCGGCGCGCGCCGCCCCGCGCTGGGCAAAGCCCCCGCTCCCAGAGGTTCGGAGGAGGAGGAGGAGGAGTTGTTCAGAGCCCCGAATCATCAGGGGTAGCTCGGGTCAGGGCTAACTCGGGTTCGTTCTTCGGGATTCCGAACCCGAGTTACCCCGGGCCCGAGTTACCCCGGGGTAATTCGGGCGTCCGGGGCCCCAAATCATCAGGGGTAACTGGGGTCAGGGTTCGTTTTTGCGGGGATCCAAACCCGAGTTACCCCGGACCCAAGTTACCCCGGATAACTCGGGCGCCCAAGTTGTGGACGCCGATCATTGGTCGGGGGCGGCCAAGAAGGGGGGGTGATGCCCAGGAGGCACTCGGACATGCACCTCCCTGGACATCCCACGCAGCACGTGTGAAGGGGCGGTGCTCGCGGACGGCAATCGGTGCGTTGGGACGTAGCGCCGGGGAGCTACGGTCAGGAACCTCTTTTTAACATATCGCACCTTCTGTTCTGGCCCACCACGCTTCGGCCTGACACGCTGAGCACGTCCCAGTCTCGAGCGTCACCTTCCCGAGCTCTTCCCAGCCTCCCGTCCCACGGTGAAGAGCGACGCGCTATCGGCAGTCAAGGCATGGCATGCTACAGGGGCCGCCACCGCGACACGCTAAGCAACAGGTCCCTACCGTATCCCGTGCGGGTTTGGGGGAAGGGTGGCTGTCCAGCACCGGTCTTGCCCGAGTCGTATTAGAGAGGCGTCTGTGTGCCCCTCCTCGAACACGTGAATCTGCTGCTCGTTTCGATGCATCGTCGGAATGTGCCTCATTCCCCAGCCCCTACCAAGTCAGACGAGCAGTGACGCAAGCCGTGTCCCGAAGGGCTCCCTCAGAGTATGGTCTTCCTCCAACGTGTCTCTCTTTTATCCGTCCAGCTTGGCCCTGGGCCCCTTCTCTTCTGTTGCCAGGCCCTCCTCCGTTCGCAAGCGTGGCCTCCTCCTCTTCCTCTTCCGCCGCCTACAGCCAGACCGAGGGGTAAGATCGAGGTCGGTTTGGGGAGGGTGCCCTGATGTGTTTCGTGATTCTGGGACGTTCTTGTGCATACAGGGGAGGGTACCCTTGGATGCTCTGTGTGTTACGGAGGGCGGAGGGTCTCATGGCCGTGGAGGGTGCTCTTCTGGCCCAGGTCTGATTGCAGCAGTATTGGCGGCGCGTTCCAGCGGGAAGTGCGAGGCGGCCGGCCCTCTCTGAAGACGGCGGGGCTTCCCAGAAGTTCCCTCGCCCCTCTCGGAAGCCCTGTGAGCCTTCCCCGAAGCCACACACAGTTTCGTAGAACGGCGGGGGCCTCCGAGAAGCGCCGCCGCCTTCTGAGAAGGCTTGCCCCCCCCCTCACTTCCCACAGGGCCGCGCCGCCGAGATTAGTCGCCGTTCCTCCTTCTCTTCCCCGGCGCCGTCCCTTTCCTCCTCTGCCTGCTCCTCCCTGTTCCATGCCATCCGCTGCTTGTGCTGCCAGGCCCAGAATGTGTCATCGGTCCTTCTCCTCCCCCTGGGCGTCCTTCTCCTCCTCCTCCTCCTCCCCCTGCTCCTCGTTCCATGCCGCCCGCGGCTTTCCGCTGCCAGGCGGTCGTCATCGCAGTCGCGCTGGCGCCGCTGACGTCGTCCTGATGAGGCGCCCGCGTGTCGCCCGGAGCCCGCCGAGCCCAAGCCCAGAGGTGCCTTGCGACGAGACTCCGCGAGGCCGCGCCTCTCTCCTCCTCCTCCTCCTCCTCCTCCTCCTCCTCCCTCCTCCTCCTCCTCCTCCTCCTCCTCCTCCTCCTCCTCCCTCCTCCTCCTCCTCCTAGGCCTGTCGTCGCTCGGTCTGCTCGGTGCGCTGGTGGATTGCCCCCCCCCTTCGGCGTCGGGCGTGCGCGTGGCGAGCGTGCTCGACCTGCGGGCCCGGAGCCCCCGCGGCG